TATGATGTGTGAAAAAAGTTTAAAGCTAATTTAGTGTATCTTCATTGAAAAAAATTAGACTTGAGATGCAAAAGGTTTATTTAAAAGATTAACATGATTCCAATTATAGTTTCACCAATTATATGCACATAAGGCATTTAAATTATACATTTAAACATGACTTTCTTTCAACCATAAGTCTAGCTCGATTTCAAAATGCATGTGTTTGAGACATTTTCACAAACAGCTAGTTTGCATCATGTAGAGCAAAAGTAAAACAAAATCAAAACAAAAGTGCATTAACAATTTTGTTTTAGAAAAGCAAAAAAAAAACAAAAGATAAGGCAAACCAAAAGGTAAAAGAAGCTAACAATATACTGATAGGGACGCGAACACGAATGAAGCCGGCATGGAAACGGAGAATATCAACGACAACATGGGAAGTTCGGGAGAGGAAAGCAATGCGGAAATGGGTAGCTCGTTAGAAGGGGATCGGGAGATGCATGTGGGCCTGGAGGCACAGGAAGCCCATGCACGTCGAAGTACAAGGCCGAGACGTAGCCCACGTTGGCGGAAGGATTATGTTTAGACATTTGAGTTATTTAATTTAGATATTTTAATACTTTAATTATTGTATTTTAGTATTTTCCTAGGTGAGCGAATTATAAGCTCCTTCGAGGGTTTCTTTACTCTAGAAAATAATAAGGAGGAAAATATTCTGTATATTGAATTGTTCTACCAATTACAAGGGGTTTCTCCTTTATTTTTAGGAGAGGATAAAGACCAAAACACAAAAGGAATTCTACTCCTACAAGGAAACAAATCACTAAATATCAACTAGGAAACAAATCAAGAGCAATCCCACTTAGAATAGGATTTGCTCTCCTTCTTGCCGTGTGGTCCAAGGAACACGGCCCAACACCCTCCCCCCTCAAGATGGAGCATGCGGATTCTGGATCCCCAGCTTGGACAGCAAATGGGAAAATGGAGCGGAAGCCAAAGCCTTTGTAAAGAGATCTGCCGGTTGTTCATTGGTGGAGATGTGGCGAGTACACTAAACACCTCGTTGGATTTCGTCATGCACTAAGTGGCAATCAATTTCAATGTGTTTCGTACGCTCATGGAAGACAGGATTAGCTGCAATACGGAGGGCTGCCTGATTATCACAAAACAACCGCATGGGTTGTTTGTGACGCACACACCAAGGGAGAAAAGTAGGGATTTCAGCCATTTTAGTTCACAAACAGTGGTTGCCATAGCCCTGTATTCGGCCTCAGCCGAAGATCGGGAAACGACACTTTGTTTCTTTGTTCGCCAAGATACCGGAGAATCGCCAAGAGTGATAAAATAACCAGTAACAGAACGTCGAGTCAAGGGACACCCAGCCCAATCAGAGTCACAGAAAGCTTTAAGGGTAAGATCACTCTGTACTGGAAGAAACAATCCTTTCCCGGGACAGGCCTTGATGTACTGTAGAACCTGGGTCGCACCGTCCTAGTGTTCCTGCCGCGGCTCCCCCATGAATTGAGACAACACATGAACTGCATATGCCAAGTCAGGACAACTGATCGTGAGATAGATGAGGCGCCCTACAAGTCTGCGATAACGCTCTGGATTAGTGAGAAGTGGGGAACATGCTAGAGCCAGTTGTTGGTTCTAAGGAAGAGGAGTGGAATCCGGTCGAGCACCCAGAAATCCAGTTTCACAAAGTATATCAAGAGCATATTTGCGCTGGCAGATGAATATCCCTTTCGAATTTCGAGCAACCTCTACGCCCAAAAAATATTTTAAAAGACCAAGATCTTTCATATGGAAGCAATCAGAGAGATACCGTTTAAATTTGCCAATGAATTCTTCATTATTTCCAGCTATCACGAGATCATCCACATATACCAGCACACGGAGCTCGATGGAGCCGCGCAGAAGAGTAAACAGAGAGTAATCAGCCTTGGATTGGTGGAACCCAAAATGTTTTAACGCAGAGGTGAGTTTGGCAAACCAACACCGTGGAGCCTAACGAAGACCATAGAGGGATTTGTGAAGCCGGCAAACCAATCCTTTACCACGAGCGTTAAACCCGGGAGGAAGGGTCATGTATATTTCATCGCGAAGGTCTCCATGCAAAAATGCATTGTGAACGTCCATCTGATGTAGGAACCAGTTGCGGGACGTGGCAACAGCTAAAAGAGTGCGAACAGTAACCAACTTAGCCGTCGGGGCAAAAGTCTCTTTAAAATCAATGCTCTCTTTTTGTCGGTTCTCAAGCACCACCAAACGAGCTTTGTAGCGTTCAATGCTTCCATCAGACTTGTGCTTGATTTTATAGACCCATTTGGATCCGATTGTTTTCCTTCCAGGAGGCAGGGGGACGAGTGACCAAGTGCCATTAGCTTCCAATGCTTGAATTTCTTCCTTCATAGCTTGCACCCATAGCGGGTTTTTGACCGCCTCAGAAAAGAATGTAGGCTCAAAATCTGCACTTATAGCTGCCAAAAAACATCTATGGGAAACAAAAAATTTGTCAGTGTTAATAAAATTTGTAATACAGTGTGCTGTACCTGAAGGCATTGTTGGTTTGAGTGAATCAGGAGAGGGACGTTGAATGGTGTGAGTGACAAAGTCACGCAGTCGCAAAGGAGGACGACGTTCTCTTTCACTTCGGCGCAAAGTGTCTTGGGTTGGAAGGGTTTGGTTATCAAGGGTAAAAGAAGGTTGGACTGGGTCATCGGGTTGGCTGTTTGGTTATGATGTTGCAGGGTTTTCTAGATTGGATTGGAGTAACGGTCGACCAGGGTCCTGAGAACGGTCCAATGTTTCGACCGCCTGGGTGGCAGTGTCAGGTTCAGAGGGAGACGGTCGACCGTGGGTTGCTGGGCGGTCGGTCTTGTTAATCGTTTCGGTGGCAGATTCTTCACTGGGTATTTCTTCCTCAAAACAATCAGCAGTGGGTTCAGGTTCTGTGAGATTGGGGGTAATTTGTGAATGGAAGGGAAATTGGTTTTCAAAGAACTTGACATCTCGACTGACAAATATTTTATTATTGTCCAAATCGAGAAGGCGCCATCCTTTTTGGCCGAATGGATAGCCAAGGAAAACGCAGCGTCGAGAACGGGACTCAAATTTGTCTCCATGGTGGGATTGATTGCGGGCATAGGCAAGACATCCGAAAACCCGGATATGACTATATGAGGGGGTTTTTTCATAGATCATGGAATATGGGGTTTTGCCTTTGTGTAGCTCAGAGGGTGTTCGGTTAATTAGATAGGCAGCGGTGAGGATACAATCACCCCAGAATTTAAGGGGTAGGTTGGCTTGGAAGCGAAGGGCTCCGGCAATGTTGAGAATGTGACAGTGTTTTCGTTCGACTCGACCATTTTGTTGTGGGGTACCGACGCAAGAGGATTCAAAAATAATCCCATGATTGTCAAAGAAAGATTTTAAACAAGTGAACTCTGTACCATTGTCACTTCGTACAGTTTTCACTTGTTTATTGAATTGTCGCTCAATCATGGAAAAGAAACTACGCAAGACAGTAGGGGCTTCATATTTGTGATTTAATAGATACACCCAAATTGCCCGAGAGAAATCATCAACAATAGTTAAGAAATATCTAGCCCCAGTGCGAGACGGAGTAGGGTACCCACCCCATAAATCACATTGAATCAAGGAAAAAGGAGTAATAGATTTATTCAGACTAATTGGAAAAGAGTCACGACATTGTTTTGAATGAAAACACACATCACAAGGGGAATCATGGATATTGGTATTTTTGGGTAAATGGAGAAAAGTGTTGACAGTGGTGTAAGAGGGATGACCCAAGCGCTTGTGCCAAATGTCCAGATCCTTTGCCTCTTTCACAGTGCAGACTTTGTCCTTCACACCTTTCTTGAGATAATATAGTCCTTCAGCCTGCTCACCCATTCCAATCACCATCTTCGAGATATAGTCCTGTATAATACAAATTTTATTATTAAACTTGACAATTAAATTCTTTTTCTCAAGAAGTTGTGAGACAGATATAAGATTGCAATTGTGTTGAGAAACTAGCAAAACATTTTCTAAGGTGATCAAATTATCCACAATCACATTCCCCTTTTGGTTGGCTATTGCACAATCTCCATTCGGTAGGCCAACTGAGCAAGGTTTTATTGCTTCCAAATTTTCAAGACACTTCTTATCACCGGTCATATGTTGACTGGCTCCACTATCAATGATCCAAGAACTGTTAGTCATACCTGAAAACTTACTTTCCATACCCGAATCCTTCTCGTTTAAGAGTCCCATAAGTGCATTCCATTGATTGGTTGTGAGAGAAGGGAGATTCGGTTGATGGAGCGCACGTCCCCCATCCGTTGCATTGGCCTGAGCCGTGTGTGCCGCCGGTCCGCCTGCTGGACCGCCACCAGCTCCGCCGCGGTTACGTCGGCCGGCGTTGCCCCCCTGCCGCCGCGCCGTCCCCCTGTGTTGTTGCCGCGGCCATTACCTCGTCCCGGGTTCAGGACACGTGGGCGATCTCCCCATCATTCAGGATATCCAACAAGTTGAAAGCAACCACTCTTCTCGTGTCCGCTCAACCCACAATGTTTGCATTTTAAATCCTTAGTTGCGTCACGGTCAAATTTGGAGGTGACGACAAAGCCCACCGGATTACGTTCCTCTTCTTGAATAGTCTTCAAGACCCATTCCTGCTGGATGATGGTGGAGTATACGCGATTCAGTGGTGGCAAGGGTTCTGTGGCGATGATGTTAGATCGTAGACTCCCATATCCTTCGTTATCCAATCCCATCAGAAATTGGTGAACCTTTTCTTTGTCGCGTTGGATGGCAAGCGCTTTTCTTATCCCACACTTGCATCCATGGCACTTGCAAGCGGGGATTTTTTCATGATCGCCGAGTTCGTCCCATATGGTTTTTAATTTTCCAAAGTACGTAATGATGGACTGACCGTTTTGCTTGCAATTTGCAAGTTCCTTCTTCAGTTGATGAATTCGAGGACCGTTTGCAACAGAGAAACGATCTTGGATGTCCTTCCATAGTTCTGCTGCTTCTTCTACCTGTGTGATGGAGTTTCTCAGGCTGCCATCAATTGTGTTGAAAATCCATGAGACCAACATGGCATTCACAATCCACCATTCTTCATAGTTTTCATCTCCTTCTGGACAAGGGATGGATCCGTCGATGAATCCAATTTTCCGTTTTGCATGGAATGCAATTCTCATTGCACGAGCCCATTCTTCATAATTATCACCGTTTAGTTTGACTTGGGTGATAATTAATCCAGGTGTGTCTGCGTTCGTGAGTTCGTAAGAACTTCCCTTCGTAGGGATCTTTTCTTCCTCATCGAAGAGCTTGCCGATGAGTTTTTTTTCTACTTCTGCCATGTCGACGATCGAGGAGGATAGTCCGGCGGTCGATGTCGGTGATCCGGTGGAAGACAGGCTTGAACCGGCGGAGGACAGTGATGGACCGTCGTATGTATAGATTAGGGTTTTCCCTAGGAATCTTGCTCCGATACCATGTAGAAAATAATAAGGGGGAAAATATTCTGTATATTGAATTGTTCTACCAATTATGGTTTCTCCTTTATTTATAGGAGAGGATAAAGACCAAAACACTAAAGGAATTCTACTCCTACAAGGAAACAAATCACTAAATATGAACTAGGAAACAAATCAAGAGCAATCCCACTTAGAATGGGATTTGCTCTCCTTCTTGCCGTGTGGTCCACGGAACACGGCCCAACATTTACGGTTTTTTACCTCGTCGCTTTTCTTGAACCGTCAAGATAGCAAACATAGTTTTAGGTTGGAGGTCTTTACTATAAATAGAGATATTACTCCTCATAATTAATAAGAAAGAAAATACCCAAAACCCTAATCCTCTCCCTGTGGCGTGTGTTTCTACCGCACGATCTCTCTCTTGCATGCTTCCCAAAGACGTTGGTGTCGGACCGGGATCGAGTCTTTTTGAGTAAATTTTGATGTTAGGTTCTCAAATTGAGCGGCACAACGCTACACATGAGTACACCATTCCATCCCCAAACTGATGGACAGACGGAGGTTATGAATCGGGGGATTGAACAATATCTGCGAGCCTTCTCTATGGATAAACCCAATCGCTGGACAGTGTTGCTGCCCTGGGCCGAATATGCTCTGAATACAAGCTACCACTCGGCTTTAAAGATGACACCCTTTCAGGCGTTGTATGGTCGGGAACCCCCGAACCTATTACCATACCGAGAAGGCGAGTGTCCCTTGCCAGAGGTGGATGCGTTATTACAAGAACGGACAGCCCTTCTTCACCGACTACGCGAGCACTTGGCCAAGGCGCAGGCACGCATGCGTGACATCGTCAATCAACATCGACAAGAGCTGCAATTCGATCCGGGGGCATGGGTGTTGTTGAAACTCCAGCCATACCGCCAACAGACGGTAGCGCGGTGTTCCAATCAGAAACTATCACGGCGTTTTTTGGTCCTTTCTAGATTTAAGAACGGGTCGGGTAGGTTGCTTACCGTTTGAAGTTACCGGCTGATTTGATAGTGCACCCAGTGTTTCATGTATCATTGTTTCGGCCCTTTCGGGGGGAACCTACAGCCCAGCCATGCCAGCCAGTGCCGAAGGAGTTAAAGGACGGCCAAGTGCCCTCGGTCCCTGTCCGGTTGCTCGATCATCGCATGACTTTGGTGGGTAATGTGTTGACAGAACAGGTCCTGGTGGAATGGTCAGAAGGTGGACCAGACGATGCTATGTGGAAGTCCCTGGCGTTTATGCGTAAGCAGTTTCTGCGTTTGCACCTTGCGGACAAGGTGCTTGTTGAAGACGGGGGGAATGATAGGGACGCGAACATGAATGAAGCCGGCATGGAAACGGAAAATAACAACGACAACGTGGGAAGTTCGGGAGAGGAAAGCAATGCGGAAATGGGCAGCTCGTCGGAAGGGGATCGGGAGATGCATGTGGGCCTGGAGGCGCAGGAAGCCCATGCACGTCGAAGTACAAGGCCGAGACGTAGCCCACGTTGGCGGAAGGATTATGTTTAGACATTTGAGTTATTTAATTTAGATATTTTAATACTTTAATTATTGTATTTTAGTATTTTCCTAGATGAGCGAATTATAAGCTCCTTCGAGGGTTTGTTTACGGTTCTTTACCTCGTCGCTTTTCGTGAACTGTCAGGATAGCAAACGTAGTTTTAGGTTTGAGGTCTCTACTATAAATAGAGATATTACTCCTCATAATTAATAAGAAAGAAAATACCCAAAACCCTAATCCTCTCCCTGTGGCGTGTGGTTCTGCCGCACGATCTCTCTCTCTTCCTTTCTCACTTTCATTCCTCTCTTCTAGGAGTTTGGAGACACTCGAAGCTCTCCTTGCGATACTCGTTCGTATTATATACTCATTCAATTGACGAAGGATGCCTAAACTCTTTCGGTACACCAAAAAAATCAAAATAGAAAAATGCATGACAATTAAATTCATGTGGAAGAATGGTTCTGTACCTATACTCCTGTGGGTAGAAAATCTCACCACAAACTTCAAAGTCCAAATTGGGAAGAATTGGGAGAGAGACGATAGAGGAAGCACCGAAGAAAGTAGTCGATTGCAAATGGTAGGTGTCCATCCACAAGTTTCTGAGTGAATATTAGTTATTGAGACCGCCTCTTATGAAGTTAAGGTTATGAAATCAAAATTGAGAAATTAACTCCATGGCCACAGATCCGTAGATGAAGAAACCGAAAGGTCGGAATGGAAATTATGGAAAGATTTTAGACTATGTATAACAAAAAAGGATAGATACGGATTTAAAGTGAAAAACCCAAAATGCCCAGCGAGTAAAACAGAAAGAGCCTCCAGACTGAATAAGATCTAACGCTGATAAAACATTCTTATTTCTTTCATAAGATCTTATTCTCACCTTATTCTCGATTTAGTCGTATGTAACCGAGTTTGAGGGCCATATATCAGTCTATAAAGCTCGTCATCAATTGATTAACCTCTTTATCAATTCATGATATCCTCATCAAATTCTAACACGTATACTAATGAGCACTTAATTAACACACTCCAAAGTTTGGCACAAAGGGAGTATTAATTGGTGTATTTTTTGTCTAAAGTTTAGAGAGCATTAATGCAAATACGGAGTATTAAAATTCAGAGTGAATTCACGTAATTTTTAAAAAGTTTTGAGATAAATAGTGTAAAAAACTGGAAAAAATTATTAATTTGATTGCTATGTTAAATCAATAAATAGTACCCGAGTATAAAATAAAATAATGCCAAATCACAATTCATATACTCGGTAAGGATTAAAATTGTAAACTCATTAAAAATATCAAATACACTCACCACGTTTGGAAATTATGTGAGCTGGAGGATACACCCTATCCGTTGTGTAGTTGCTCGAAACCGTCATAAATCAATCCAATAGTAGTTGATAAATTGATTGATAATCACAAGCCTCCACGAGCACAAGTTATCTTCAGAAAAAATGGGTTCTTTGAAGAGCGAGAGTGAAGCGGAGAAGATCTCTGGAGAATCAAATGAAGCTATCTTATACGTCAATGGGATCAGGCGAATACTGCGTGATGGTTTGGCCCACTTGACTCTTCTTGAATATCTAAGGGGTTCGTTTATACCTTTTCTTCTTCTTCTTCCTCCTCTTATTGTTTTCTTCTTCTTCTTCTTATATAGTTTTACTAGAAACATAAAATCGTCAACAACAACCCCATAAATAGTGTTGGGGAAGCACGGAACAAAACACAACGGAAGCGTATAAAATCTTTTCCCCAAATTAATGAGATGAACAACAAAGCACAATATACACCAAAAAACAGCAGCAGCACCACAAATAAATGGAAGCAAAATAAAGTAAAGAACAAACGATTTACGTGGAAACCCCAAATCGGGGAGAAAACCACGGCCGCTCAACAACGGCTCCCAAACTTCCACTAATCACCAAGAATCAAGTGGGTACAACAAGTTCTCCTCTCTAGTAAACACTAGAGGCATACACAATCATCAAGGAGCAACCTTGGAACAACAACAATCAACAATTCACCATAAAATGGAGTAAAAACTCCCCAAAAAACGCAGGTCTGAAACGCAGCTAGAAAACAGCCTTCCGGGCATCAAAATGAGAATCTGACCGTTGGATATGAAGAGGAGTATGTGAGGAACAACATACTAAAATTTGAGCACGATCGGACTTCGTTTGGCCTTCGATCCGAAAAGAAAACGGGGCTGCTGCACAGTGTGGCGAGAATTCTGTTTTTTCTTCTTTTCTCCTGCGTAGCTACTGCCACTGCCCTCAAGATGCTACCTTATCCCTTCTTTTTTTTCTTTTAGTTAGTAGCCACACAAGATGGGCCACCAAAAAATATTTGGGCTAAAGCTTTACACACAAAAATAAGCCCAAATACAAAAGAGAGATATAATGTGTGTTCAATTAAAATTGAACACTTCCTCCATGTAGGAGGGAAATTTCCCAACAAATCTCCCCCTCACTCCTACATGGAGTGAGCTAACAAACCGGCCTTCTCTCGACAAAACACGAGTTTCTCCTTCGGCAATGTCTTGGTCAACATATCCGAGCAATTCTCACTAGTGTGAATCTTCACAAGTTCAAAAGACTTGTCCTCCACGGCTTCTCGAATCCAATGATACCTTCTCTTAATGTGTTTGGTTCGAGAATGAAATGCGGCATTCTTGGCAAGGTGGATGGCACTTTGTGAATCACAATGAAGAAGATAATTTTCTTGTTCCAAACCAAGCTCCTCAAGAAAATTCCTCAACCATAACAACTCCTTGCCTGCCTCAACAGCTGCTATATACTCTGCTTCAGTGGTGGACAAAGCAACACACTTCTGCAATCTTGATTGCCATGAAACTGCAGCTCTAGCAAATGTCATTAAGTATCCTGAGGTAGACTTTGCAGTATCAACATCTCCAGACATATCTGCATCTGTGTACCCATCTAACACAGGCTGTCCAATACCAAAACATAAACAAACTCTGGAGGTACCTCTAAGATATCTGAGAATCCATTTCACGGCTGCCCAGTGCTCTTTACCCGGATTCAACATGTAGCGGCTAACAACCCCAACTGAATGTGCAATATCTGGCCTCGTACATACCATGGCATACATCAAACTACCCACGGCTGAAGCATAAGGCACCTTGTTCATCTCTTGCTTTTCTTTCTCACTTGTAGGGCAATGGTCCATACTCAACTTCATGTGGCCTGCAAGTGGAGAGCTCACGGGTTTAGCGTTGCTCATGTTGAATCTACCAAGCACCTTCTCAATGTATCTCTCTTGGGATAGCCAAAGTTTCTTGTTCTTTCTATCCCGCGTGATTCTCATGGCTAAAATCTCTTTAGCAGGGCCCAAATCCTTCATAGCAAAGGACTTACTCAATGACTTCTTCAACCTGGAAATCTTCTTGGTGTCCTGTCCAACAATCAACATATCATCTACATATAAAAGGAGAATAAGAAAGTCACCTTCGGAGTAATTCTTCACAAAGACACAATGATCAGCGTGTGTTTTGTGGAAGCCATGATCAACCATAAAGGACTCAAACTTCTTATACCACTGCCGAGGTGCTTGCTTCAAACCATACAAACTTTTCTTCAAACGGCAAACTAAGTTCTCCTTTCCCTTAACCTGAAAGCCTTCAGGTTGCTCCATGTAGATTTCCTTATCAAGGTCACCATGAAGAAATGCTGTCTTCACATCAAGTTGCTCAATCTCCAAATCCATGCTCGCAGCTAAGCCAAGTATAACTCGAATAGAGGTCATCTTCACAACGGGAGAAAATATCTCATCAAAATCTATGCCCTTCTTTTGACTGAAACCCTTCACAACCAATCTTGCCTTGTACCTTGGTTGTGAGCTACTCTCATCACTCTTCAGTCTGTATACCCACTTGTTCTTGAGTGCTCTTTGGCCTTTAGGCAACTCTACAAGCTCATATGTGTGGTTCTCATGCAAGGACGTCATCTCATCTTGCATGGCATCGTACCACTTCTCGCGGTGCACATGTGACATAGCCTCATCATATGTCTCTGGCTCTCCCCCATCGGTGACTAACACAAAATCATCCTCCGAAAGTCTCGTGGAAGGTTTTCTGACTCTGGTGGATCTTCTCAACTGAGGTGCTGGAGATGGCTCTGAGTGTGAGTGTGGTTGTGACTCTGAAACACCATCACCACCATCATCATGATTATCATCATCATGATGGTAACCTACAGGGGACTCAACTGTATGATCATGCATATCTCCCCCATGATCTTGAGGGACTACAACAGGAGGAAGAGATGGAACTGGATCAATAGTCTGATCTTCAAAGAAAACCACATCTCTGCTTCTGATCACTTTCTTATCACGTGGATCCCATAGTCTGTACCCAAACTCATCCTCTGAATACCCCAAAAATATGCACTCCTTGGTCTTCTTATCAAGCTTGGATCTCTCATCTCTAGGAATATGAACAAATGCTCTGCAACCACAGACTCTCAAATGCTTATAGGAGACATCTTTCCCTGACCAAACTCTCTGAGGAACATCACCTTCAAGAGGAACTGAGGGGGAAAGGTTAATCAAGTAAACGGCAGTGAACATTGCCTCCGCCCAAAAGGACTTTGGCAGCTTAGCATGAGATAGCATACACCTGATTCTCTCCTCAATAGTTATGTTCATTCTTTCTGCAACTCCATTAAGCTGAGGTGTCTTCGGAACTGTCTTCTCAAGCTTGATGCCCTGACTTTTGCAATAGTACACGAATGGACCCCTGTACTCACCACCATTGTCTGATCTGACACACTTGAGCTTTCGGCCACTTTCTCTTTCAACTCTGGCATGAAACTCCTTAAAAGCTTCAAGTACCTGATCTTTATGTTTCAAAACAAAAGCCCACACTTTCGTAGAAAAATCATCAATAAAAGTCACAAAATATAGTGCACCACGGTGTGATCTAGCATCCATAGAGCAAACATCAGTATGAACAAGATCTAAAGCATGCTTTTTTCTATGTGGGGGACGAGTATGAAATGCAACTCTGTGTTGTTTTCCAGCTAAACAATCAACACAAGAGTTTAAAGGCATACCTGAAATGTCGGGGAGATAATCTTTCCTGGAAAGGATCTGCATGCCCTTTTGACTCATGTGGCCAAGCCTCTTATGCCACAAATCACCGGAGGCATCATCTGCTACATTGGCATCTCCGCTACATACTCTGGCCTGCATAACATAAAGTGAATTCTGCTTCTTACCTCGAGCCATAATCAAACTGCCCCTGGAGAGTTTCCATCTTCCATCACAAAATTTGTTGGCATAACCTTCATCATCAAGCAGACCAGCTGAAATCAAACTCAATCTGATATCCGGGACGTGCCTCACATCCCTGAGCACCAACCTGCAACCAGTGGAAGTATCTAAACAAACATCACCCATGCCGATGATCTTAGACGAATCATCATTTCCCATCCTCACATGGCCAAAATCACCACTAGTGTAGGATGAGAAGTACTCCCTGTGTGAAGTAATATGATAAGATGCACCAGAATCAATCACCCAGGTGCAGTCATCACAGGCTACATTTAATAGTCCATG